TTTAAAAAAAAAAAAAAAAAAATTAGGCATTTTCAATTGATTTCAATGTAGTAGAAAAATATCAACATAGTAAGCAAATATTTTGAAGTAAAGAAGGGGATATGGTGTGACATGTATCGTTTGATGCGTAGGTGCAAATAGAAAAGGGATGTTTGAAACATTCCAAAGACACGATAGTAAATAAAGAATCGAAATATTTTAGAAATTCGTATTTGCACTCGAGATGGTCGACTTATGGGCGAATACTTACAGCTTTCTAAACGTCCCGCCCTCGAGGAAACTAGCCGATATCTCGCTTATATCTTGAAATGTTTTTTCTTCATATTTGGGTTATGAGTCTCAATAAAAAATTTACAGAAAACAAACGATTGCTACATATTCTTGGAAATGGTTCAATTCTTATCAGAAGTAGAATTAGATCTTCTTTCTATTTTCTTCATTAAAAGTTTAGAAAAAAAGTGTAAAATCTTGCCTGTAAAATTTTAATTAACTTAAGTTAAATTTTTTATAATGAAAAATAATATATATTTATATCACATTTTTAAAGAAAGATAACAGAAATTCTATGAATAATTCTATGAAAATGGTAATTTTATTTTATTCTTTTTTAAATATGTATATGTAAAAAATAGATCTATTATTTCTAGTATCTATTTCACATAAAATAAAATAAAATTATGCAGGATACTTTCCATTTCAATTTTCCTAAATCAATTCATGTTTCTATTGATTTTATTGAAGTAATCGATTTAAATCTTTAGACGAATTTCTCCATCAGTAATTTTTTCTTCTCACTTGTCTATCTTGAATAATCGACAATAATCAAAAGAATGAGCAACCATGTGTATAAAATGAAAGTTTTATTTTTCCTATTTTACGATATATATCTTTCGAGTTTCTTTTGATTTTATTTAAGATGTTTTGCTTTTTACTAATGATGAAAAGGAATCAAATTTAAAAAAATAAATTAAAGATTTAAAGTCATAGTAAATCGAATTATTAGTTATTCAAAGAAAAAATTTTTTTTAATTTTAAAATAAATATTTGTAAATATTAAATTCTTAAAAAAATAGTACTTTTATAATGAAATTATTATAAAAAAGCATACAATTTATTTTATCAGAAATACTTGATATGATGTTATTTTAATAAGAACACATGTATTTGTCTAAAATATTTTTAATACTATTACTCATGTTTTTTTTCATTTTTATCTATGTAATTTCTTAAAAACGAAAGGCAATTATTTATCGTCAAATATACATTTACAGATATGCATATTTATACACGTTCATATTCATATCAACAAATTGTTAATAATTAACGTTAATAATAACATTAAAGATTGTTATGTTATTAATAATCATTGTTTCCATTGTCAATTAAAAGTTTGTTGTTGTGATTTTTATTAATAAAAATGTCCAATTCCTTTCGTTGTAAATAACATTATTCACACTCAAATTGACGATTTAATTATCAAATCTAATTATTACACAGTCGAAATGATCTTGTAATATATTATGTGTCACATATACTATTTTCATTATACGCTGAACTTTCCATTTAAACTTCTCAAACGAACTCAATGTACATCAAATAAACAAGAGCGTGCTCTGTCGGTGATCTTCGTGATTTGGAAAAAAAGTCATGGGCAAAAACATCAAACAATATTACAAAGAAAGTAACTATGAAATATGAAAGTAACTATGAAATATTAATTTAAAAAATAGATATTATTTTATATGATTTTACTTATAATGTATTTTCAGAAATTTATTTCGAAGATTTATATTGTATAAGAAACAAAATGTAAATTTTCAAAATGTTTTAAAAATCTTGACAGTTGGTATACTTTACCATTTTTGTCGAACGTTCAACAGGTGTCAACTCAACTGAAATATTTGAATTAGAATGTCTAATTTATAATATCTGTTATATGATATCGATATACATAGAATACGAGCTGGATATTGTACGAATATTTGCCAGTTCCGGTAATGTGGAAGTTTAGTGAAAGTAATAAATATCGTCGGGAAATTGATGTAACAGTCTTGCTCTAGACTTCGGTCTATCTCGTCATTCTATTACGAACCGTAACGCCTTCTTAAACTACGACGGATTGCTCCTTTTAATAAGTGAAAGGTGTTTCATAGTTCGTGGTCGACATTTCAACATTAACTAGAATACTGTATTTGGCCGAAATAAACTGTATACTCAAAATAATTATAAAAGTAAGTAGTTTAAATATATTATTTTATTTAATTGATATATTCAATTGATCTACTAAAGAATTGAAAAAATTGTTCATTGAAAAGAATTATTAAGTAAAAGAGATATTCAAATATTTTTATACATTTATATATTATAGATATTGAAAATATTATCGATAATATATTGAATAATATATTGAAAATGTAAATTTTAAAATTACTCGAATTTCAATGAATTTTCAAATTATCTTTATCAAGTATTTTTATTTCGAATTACATACATAAATATTTGAATACACTATATCAGTATCAATTCTATTCATTAGAAAGCAAAGTGTCACATTCTTATTTGAAAGTGAATTGCGTAGATTTTCTTCGGGTCGCAGATTGCGTACAGCGTCTCCTTCGATTTCCTGGCACGCAATTGCGTAGACTTCGATATATGCCTTATCCCTGTACAGTATAGATTGGAAACCGGATATTCTACTCTCTACAGAAATTTACATTGACATTTTAGGAAACTAGCATAAAAGTTTTTCTTTTCGCAGTGAGATCTTGAATGACATTGGAATATGAGGGAGAACAAAAGAAGCGAGCGTGAAGTATAATTGTTAGAACCAACAATGAATAGTGTCAGAATGCGCTAATTGCCAAGATTAACTTTCACATATTATAACAACTTTATGAACGTGTTGGAATGTTCTGAAAGAATAGGAAGCATTATTAGGATCATAGCCGGTTACTCAACCATGCTTGAATAAATTTTAATTTTGCAGAAATTTTCTCCTGTCATTAACCTTGACGACTAAACTTAAGATATCTCCTATTTAATGTTCGGTTAAATTACACTTCGTATCTTCATTATATGTATTCTATTCTCTTGAATGTATATGTTTCTCAAATGAAAAGATAATAAATAAAATGCTACATATTGAACAACGTATTTTATGGTTAGGTAACAAAAATTTTATTTCAGTTCACTTACTAAAGTTCATGATCTAGCTTATTTAGAATTTTATTTTATGTATTTTTAATTTGTGATAATCAAGAAAAATCATTGAGAATTAAAAATTATCACGCGAATAATTTACAAAGAAAATATTGATTAATGACAGGTGTAAATAATTTTCTTGTTCACGATCAGCGAATTTATATGTTGTTCTTTGACATTAAATATTAAAGATAAGAATCATTAGCATATTCTTTGAATAATATTAAAAAATTTTATTAAATGAAGATAGTACATATTTTTATTTTTCAATTGATGATTATTTTATTATATTATATATTATTATATATATGATAAAATATAATAAAATATAGTATTCGATACCACTAAAAATACAAATAACTAAATAAAAAATAAATGTATCATATTTTAAAGGTCATCAAGATTATTTTTTCTTATGTGATTCAGTCTTCTCTTTTCTAGTCAACCGAACAAGCAATTTCCACGATGGGAAAGTCACGATGGTGGTTACATCCTTAGCATGAAACTGTTCGAATGAATAGAGAGTTGAAGATGCATCTGAGGTCGAAAAAAATTATGTTGGGTCGAAAGTGAAACTATCATTTCAATGTGGAAATGTGATTGAACAAAAAACAAAATTTCATAAGAAATTCATTAAAGTTTTTCGTGAAATATTTATTCAAAATTTAAATTATTATTATATTTATATATAGAACTTTTCATATTTAGGATGTAAGAAAAATTGATTTTTCTATAATTATTTAGATTGTTTTATTATTAGAAAATTTCTCAAAAGATACACAATAATGTATTGTTTGTAGACAATAAACTTATTTATTGTAAATCCTCGAAATTTATATAATTTTGTATAATTCTATTGAAAATGTTTACCGAAAAACTTCCGGAATTTCTACGAATTTTCTCATGATCTTTTTACAATGTTAATCTTCGGTCAATTTTCAAATTGCAGTTGAATTTCCGGCATGTTTATAAATACAGTAAAAAGTTGTGGTTGCATCGTTCAAAGTCCAGTGTCTCGATGCATTCGAGACGATTCCAATTCGAAAGTGAAACCTTACTCTGTAATCAATGATGCGTCCTATGCAGGTGAAATTTTGATATTTAATTGTATGTTCAATTGAATGTCACGGAATGTTTATGGATCCGATAATATATAAATCTATAAATCTTGTTTGAAATTAGGTTATATCAGGTACGTATATATGTGAATATATATTTTTATATGATATACATGCTATTATACATTATTATCTATAATAATCAGTTTAATTAGTAAAAAGTGAAAAATGATAAGGACATAATTATTTTTAATATATATAAATATATATATTTTTAAATTTAGTTGCATTATAACAAATATATCTTTTACTTCGTTAATATTCATAATACATGCAAATAGTGTTTATTTTATATATATATATAAATATATTTAAACATATATTTGTTTGTAAAATTTATTTCATACTATAAATTGAAAACCATAACTATAAATAAATATTTAAACAAACATAAATAACAATAGTGCTCATGAAATAAATGAAACATAAATTTTATTACAAATATAACATAAAACACAATTTTATTATGAAAATATAATTGTGCAGTAAAATGCGTTTAATCCCAATTCGCGAAAGTGAAATTTGTTTCAATTGATCAGTGATGCACGTTATTTAGGTGAAATTACGTTTCTACTCTAAGCTATCATTACCATTGACCTATATATTTCATTTACGTTGCAAATGATTTCATATTACATACAATACGAAAGCAAATAAACTAGTTATTCGCTTACAGTATAGCTGACGTAACTATTCTATTAATATTCTTTTCATTTATTATTTATACTGATAATTAAATTTTTTTCATTTTGATTCATTTCGAGAATAAAATTTTTTGCATAATGTAAGAAATATGATTTATAAAATTCAAAAAATCATGAAATTTTAATCTCTCAATAATTTTAATCTCGAAATATCCAAATTAAATTTGAATAATCAATTTCCAAAACATAAAGTTTATAAAATATGTGAATTTACAACTTGCCTCAAACATGTAGTAATATTATCATATATTTATAAAAATCTCCAATAAATTATAATGTGCCCGAATATTTAACTCTTTTAAACATTTATATCAATTTGAAATTTTAATATCAAAGTGAAACCTAAGTTCTCATGTATTTAAAAATTTTATATTTTCAGATATTGAGTATCCGAGAATATTTAAGTTCCAAAGTTTCTTTGTTCCTTACGCAATCCAGGAAACAAGATATTCGCAAATTGTGTAAGTTTTCAGTGATAAATACGTTAATTTATAAATTATACTTTCTCCATGCGCGAATAAGTAAATTTTAAAAAAAAAAGAAGATTGTCAATAAGAGATTCGTAGAGGAGATATACAAAGGAAAAATGTACACGTGCTCGTCTTCATCACAGCAACTCATGTGAAAGTGGCCTTGTCAAGTAAACGTAGATCATGACGATGCTTTTCGCCTCTTCGCATTCTATGTAGTATACGAGAGTTGATCAATGATCAAAAAGTACTCTAATATTCAGCTTTCGAAAGAAGCACTTGATTTGCTTGTATCAGTGCGGTGGAAAAATATAAGACCAGTTATATTTATAATTCGATGCATGCACTAGTTAAAACAATATATAAATTATCGTTAATTGTAAGCTTTGGGTTTAAGAATGCATAGTTAAATTGATATCATCTTTAAATTAAAATATAATGCAATTAAAATATGAAACTTTATCAATAAGAATTATTACTTTTATTGTATATTATTGACGAGTTTTTTTTTACATTATATATAATATGTAATAAAAATTGCAAATTTAGTTTTATCATTACTATTATCATTATTATAATAAATAAACGATATGTATATTATATTTTTAAATTATTCATATTATTCACATAATTATCGAGATAACGAACGATGATAATAAACGAACTTAGAAAATATAAAATAGAATATTAATAACATTGACAAAGTTTCAAGTTTTTCTTAAACTATATTCTTAATCTTATGATGAAAATATCGATAGATTGCAATTACTATAAAAATCTAACGATATGAACGATTCACTTTCTATTGGGTAATATATGTGATCGTATATGTCCCCGTGTCACGCTATACATAAAGAATGAATAACTTTCGATAGTTCGATTTACTACTAATAAATTATGAACGCAAGAATATGATTCATACATATATTGTATGCATATGATTCATCACATAAATTGCATTAAAAATATTTTTTTGTCATCTCTTTAAGTGACTAATTGAAAATGAAATAATATAGATAAAATATTGATAATTACTAAAAAGAAATTGTTAATATCTTTAGAAACATATGTAAATATATATAAAAGAAAAAATATTATATCGATTTTACTGCATAGAATTTTTTTATTATAAAGAAAAACTGAAGACTTCAAAAAAATTTCGCTATTTGTATTAATACATTTAGTAAGAATTAAGAAGAAAAAAATAATTGATTAAGATCATAAATAATTAGGATGAGTTGTGTTTAATTTGTATTTTTTATTTTTTTATTAAAAAAATATTTTGATGAAAATTTTTTTTTAATTTTAAATTTTTGTATATTTTCTACTCATAGTAGCAATTATATATATGTAATATAATATATTACAGTGATAAACGTAACAATAAAAATATAAAAATAAAATGTGAAAAAAATATCTACAAACCTATAAATAATTTTAATTGTTCACATTATTCATGAAAAGATTATATATTTTAATGTTAATAATTAAGATAAATAATTAAAATACTTAAAAAAATACTAAAAAATTTATATATTTCTTTTCTAATTTAAATTTTGAAAAATATGGTTTCATGTTGTTTTCAAAATCTTTTTTTTTTTTTTTAAAAAACACAAAAGTGTTTAAACATGAAATATCTAAATTTCATATTCATAACATGATTTCATTATGTTAATTTTATAAGCTTGTTATGAATTTGCTATCATTTCTATTTATTATTTATTATACATAAATTTTCTAGTCACAATAATTTAAATATATATATATTCCTGCTATCTCTAATCCATAATATATCTAATTCATAATAAAATTTATCTAAATATATCATATTTATAAGACAGAAAAAAAGTTCAAGATTATATTTTTGTATCGATCATTTAAATCGATAAAAAAATTCATTTTTCCCAAAATATCTTCAAAATTTATCTTTGATCAAATCTATTAAATCTTTTTTTTAATCATCTTCTCAAAATCAAATCATAAAATCCTCTTTTAATTCTTTCAAATTCTAAATCATCTAATTTTTCCAAATTTTCTTAAATTTCCAAAATTTCTAAAAATTCAAAAAATTCTACAATTTAATCCACATACATAGATCCATTATCTATCTAGATATAAATTCTTATTAAAAATTTGTACATTTTAATCTAATTTTTTTCTTTCTTTCATTTATCGATCTCTATCTCTTCATCTTCATCAACTTTTTATTTCGCACGAACACCGCGTTCCGAGATCATCGGAGCTCTGAAACTTAACGCTCGTACGATCGTGTTATATACGAGGCGCCCACCACCGGTATCCGGAACTTTCACCATCCATGGAAGCCGGTCGACACGTTGATTGGAGCTTCTCTTTGAACTCGTCCCGCGATCATTATATGCTAATTGCATTTACTACTCGTGTCTGCCTCGCGCAGAGATATTTCCACCTGTAGGTGGATGTTCGAAAGCGGCTTCCCTTATCTCCGTTAAGAAAGCGCGGAAAGAAATATCGTGAATTTTAATGTTGTGTACCGTGAGATAGCGGCGAAGAAAGTGGAAGAACTATATTTCCTAGTAGTAACATTACGGATCGCGATTATACGATTATTTCAAATTTATTTCATATTTATTTTTTTGTTATCTTTTTCCATTTCGTTATTATCATTATTGGGTTGTTAAACTAGAGTTAGATTAAAAATGATTCATAGGAACGTGAAGATAAGGATAAGAAAGAAAAATTGCACTCGTTTTAATTATCAATTTTTTATTTATCAATGTTTTAGTTTTTTTTATTATTTATTAATTGAGCCATTCTTTTTGAAAGTGGTACAAGTCTAATTATTCATACATTCGAGATATTTAAGGATTTGCATTTTAATCAACTTAATTAATTATCTTTTTAATATTATAAACTTGTTAAATTTTGTTATGCAATATTGATAAAAGAAAATAAACAATTTTTTAGCTACAAATACGGATTTATGTCACTTTCAATAATAAAATATTATGAAAAATATAAATAGTAATTTTAAATTAATTTCTTTTACAGTTGACTTTTCTGAAATATAAGAAATAATAATTAAAATGAAGACAATTAAGTAAACGAATATTACAATGAATTTATAAATAAACAAGTGTGAAAACTAAATTAATTAGTAAGATAATTAATAATAACAAACTTATTTAATAAAAATGGAGATAATAATTTTTACAATTCAATACTTTTTTTAATTAATTTACGAGAATTTTGTACACCATTGATTGTGCGATTATAAATATTAAAAAAACGATAACTATATTTGAATTAAAATTATCATTAACTAATTTTTTTTTTACAAAAATATAGACTTATACCATTTTCAAAAAAAAAACAATTTTTTTTCGAATTCATTTTTATCAATCAATCTGAATCTCGATTTAAACTCTTCATTGTCTATTTAAATCGCGTTCATTGAAACATTTTTATCAATTTTTATCAATCTATCGAATCGAATCAAGTTAAGTGTATGTGGCAGCTCGAGTCGAAACATCTTTTATCGAATTTAAAAAATTTCCTCGGCGACAGGACGATCAATCAAATTCGCTCTTTGAAAGTCTCTTTTCCTTCTTTAGCCATATTTTTTCCCCACACGTTCTCTTTCAAAGTATCAAGAGTGATTAAACACAGGCATGGCCGCTTCCGACCATCTCTTCTCGCCATTCTGTTTTTTTTTCTTTTTTTTCTTCTTCTCCTTTCCATGCTTCTCATCCCACAACAAGTTGTCACGCTCACGGAAAACGGAGAAAGTAAAGGTCATGAGCGATGAATCGCGACCCTGAAGACCCTGAGATGTACCCGTTCCCTTGAATCTCATCTTATCCCTAGAAAGCATCTTCCCCCTCTCCTCCCCCAACTCTTCTTCCTCTTTGTTCGATAGAAAACTAACAGCTTTCATCCAGAGGAAATTAATGTCTAGCATGTGAACACGATTCCTCGTATTTATGCAACTGCCTCCGCGCTTGCGAATCGAAACGCGGAACTTTTTACTCGTGCGAAAAGTAAATTTCGAAAAGTATAGAAAATGAAATTTTTACTTTCTCT